TTGCTGCTGTCGCGCTGTGGTCGCGCTGTGGTGGCGCTGTGGTCGCGCTGTAGCTCCGCCTGACGCCCGCAGATGAGGTCGGGGCCCTGGTGTTCGACATCGGCTCCTTCTCGGTCCGCGCCGGCTACGCGGGCGAGGACTGTCCCAAGGTGGGTGTCACCGCGTCACCAACAATGTCACCGCGTCACCATCGGTGTCACCGCGTCCCCATGGGTGTCACCGTGTCCCCATCGGTGTCACCATGTCACCATCAGTGTCACCGCGTCACCATCGGTGTCACTGCATCACCATTGGTGTCACCGTGTCACCATTAATGTCACCGCATCCCCATCGGTGTCACCGCGTCCCCATGGGTGTCACCGTGTCCCCGTCGGTGTCACCGTGTCCCCATGGGTGTCACCATCACCCCCCATGTCCCCATGTCCTCGTCCCCATGTCCCCCCCGCCCTCCCCATGTCCATGTCCCACCCAATGTCCCCATGTCCCCACCTGTGACCCCATCACCAAACCAATGTCCCCAACACCGTCCCCGTGTCCCCACCACTGTCCCTATGTCCCCATGGTCACACTCATGTCCCCATCACCGTCCCCATTGTCATTGTCCCCATGTCCCCATGTTCCCGTGTCCCCATGTCCCCATGTCCCTGTCATTGTCCCCATGTCCCCATGGCCATCCCCATGTCCCCATGTCCCCATCATTGTCCCCATGTCCCCGTCATTGTCCTCATGTCCCCCACATCCATGTCACCATCCCCATGTCCCTGTGTCCCTGTCATTGTCCCCATGTCCCTATTGCCATCCCCATGTCCCCGTCATTGTCCCCATGTCCCCATCACCATCCCCATGTCCCCGTGTCCCCATGTCCCCATCATTGTCCCCGTGTCCCCATCATTGTCCCCATGTCCCCATGGCCATCCCCATGTCCCCATGTCCCCATGTCCCCATCATTGCGCCAGGGCCAGGAGCGGCCAAGGTCTCAGGGGCTGCTGCCTGAGCCTGGCGCCCTGGGTCTGTGCACCGCCTGCCCCGCGCACACAGGGGACACGAGGCCCCACGCACAGAGCCAGCGCTGCCACCATGACCATCCCCACAAGCTCTCCTGCTCTATTCCAGGCTCTCAGCACCCACAGCCTGCATGGCTGCAGCCAGGAGGAAGAGCCCATGGAATGGGAGAGCTCCGACTGTATTCTCCAGGTATTGCTGCTGCCAGCCTCATGGGGAGAGCTGGGGCTGGATCTGGCCGCTTCCCTATTTCCCGCTTCCCATGACTGGAGGAGGGACCCTGGGACTAGGACTTCCTGCCTGTGGGACCTCCCCTGCAAACACGTACTTCAATCTTGCAGATTCCGTGCGCTGATCGGACTGCAGGAAATGAACCTGAGCCAATGGAATGGCTGAGCTATGGCAGCAGCCAGGTACAGACCCTGTAGCCCCTGGATGCCCTTATCCTTCCTCTTCCCCACGCACCATCCCCATGTCCCCGTGTCCCCATGTCCCCATCATTGTCCCCGTGTCCCCATCATTGTCCCCATGTCCCCATGGCCATCCCCATGTCCCCATGTCCCCATGTCCCCATCATTGTCCTCATGTCCCCGTCATTGTCCTCATGTCCCTGTCATTGTCCTCATGTCCCTGTCATTGTCCTCATGTCCCTGTCATTGTCCCCGTGTCCCCATCACTGTCCCCATGGCCATCCCAATGCCCCCATCATCTCCATGCCCATCCTCACATCCGTGTCATTGTCCCCATGTCCCCATGTCCCTGGGATTGTCCCCATGTCCCCCACCACATCCGTGTCACCATCCCCATGTCCCCATGGCCATCCCCATGTCCCCGTCATTGTCACCGTGTCCCCATCATTGTCCCCATGTCCCCATGGCCATCCCCATGTCCCCATGTCCCCATGTCCCCATCATTATCCTCATGTCCCTGTCATTGTCCCCATGTCCCCATCATCGTCCCCATGTCCCCACGTCCCCGGGATTGTCCCCACGTCACCGCGTCACCGTCACCTCCCGCCCCCCCCGTGTCCCCACATTGTCCCCCGCACAGGCCGACTTCCCCACCACGGTGGGGCTGTTGTCCCCGGACGAGGTGGCCATGGAGCTGGACGGGGACAAGGACAAGAAGGGCGGCCGGGTCTACTACATCGACACCAACGCGCTGCACGTGGCCCGCGACGCCATGGAGGTCGTGTCGCCGCTCAAGAACGGCATGAGTGAGCACGGGGACACCGGGGGCCACCACGGGCCACCGGAGGGTCAACATGGGCCATCGTGGGGTCATCATGGGCCATCGTAGGGTCATTATGGGCCATTGTAGAGCCATCATTGGTCATCATGAGCCACTGTAGGGTCAGCATTGGTCATCACGGGCCACCGGAGGGTCAACATGGGCCATCGTGGGGTCATCATGGGCCATCGTAGGGTCATTATGGGCCATCCTAGAGCCATCATTGGTCATCATAAGCCACCGTAGGGTCAGCGTTGGTCATCATGGGCCATTGTGGGGTCATTGTGGGCCATCGTAGGGTCATCATGGGCCATCATAGGGTCATCGTTGGTCATCACAGGCCATCATAGGGTCATCGTTGGTCATCACGGGCCATTGTGGGGTCATTATGGGCCATCATAGGATCATCATTGGTCATCATGGCCCAATGGTGATGGATGGCCATGGATGGCCATGGTGACCACTGTCATTGCGGGCCCTCGTGGGGTCATTATGGGTCATCGTAGGGTCATCGCTGGTCATCATGGGCCCTCATGGGGTCATTACGGGCCACCACAGGGTCAACATGGGCCCTCGTGGGGTCATTGTGGGCCAACCTAGAGTCATCATTGGTCATCGTGAGCCACCGTAGGGTCATCATTCGTCACCATGGGCCATCGTTTGGTCATCGTTGGTCATCACAGGCCATCGTTGGGTCATCGTTGGTCATCGTAGAGTCACTATGGTGTCACCATTGGTCATTGTGTGTCCTCGTGGGGTCATTACGGGCCACCATAGGGTCATTGTCAGTCATCATGGGCCATCGTAGGGTCATTGTTGGTCAACACAGGCCATCATAGGGTCATTATGGGCCATCATGGAGCCATCATTGGTCATCGTGAGCCACCGTAGGGTCATCATTGGTCACCATGTGCCATCGTTTGGTCATCGTTGGTCATCACAGGGCCATTGTAGGGTCATCGTTGGTCATCATGGGCCATCATAGGGTCATTATGGGCCATCATGGAGCCATCATTGGTCATCGTGAGCCCCCTTAGGGTCATCATTGGTCACCATGGGCCATCGTAGGGTCAACATTGGCCATCACGAGGTCATGGACCATCATGGGGTCCACATGGGCCATCGTGATGACATCATGGCCATCATAGGGCCATCACGAGCCATCGTGATGTCATCATGGGCCACCACAGGGTCTTCATGGGCCACCAGGGCCATCGCAGACCCCCTGCAGCCCCCATGGTCCCCTTGGGGACCCCAATGTCCCCCCATGGTCCCTAATGTCCCCACAGGCCCCTTGATGTCCCCAATGGTCCCCAATGTCCCCCTGTGGTCCCTAATGTCCCCCATGGTCCCCAATGTCCCCCTGTGGTCCCTAAGGTCCCCATGGCTCCCCGATGGTCCCTGTGGTCCCCTTGGTGTCCCCAACGTCCCCCTGTGGTCCCTAAGGTCCTCTTGATGTCGTGGTCCCCTTGGTGTCCCCAATGTCCCCCTGTGGTCCCTAAGGTCCCCTTGATGTCCCCTATGGTCCCCAATGTCCCCCTTTGGTCCCTAATGTCCCCCATGGTCCCCCCCGGTCCCTGTGGTCCCCTTGGTGTCCCCAACGTCCCCGCGCGGTCCCAGCCGTCCCGGAGCTCCGGGTGTCCCCCGGGTGTCCCCCGGGTGTCCCCGCGGTGACGCTGTTGTCCCCGGCCCTACAGTCGAGGACTGGGAGTGTTTCCAGGCCATCCTGGACCACACGTACGGGAAACACGTCAAGTCGGAGCCGGGGCTACACCCGGTGCTCATGTCGGAGGCGCCGGTACGGCCGGGTGTAGCCGGGTGTATCTGGGGGTAACCGGGTGTCCTGGGGGTATCCCAGTGTTCTGGGGCTGTCCAGGGGCATCTGGGAGTGTCTGGGTGTTCTGGGGCTGTATCCGGGTGTACCTGGGGCTGTCTGGGTGTATCCGGGTGTATCCGGGTGTCCTGTGGGTATCCCAGTGTTCTGGGACTGTCCAGGGGTGTCTGGGTGTTCTGGGGCTGTATCCGGGTGTACCTGGGGCTGTCCGGGTGTATCCGGGGGTATCCGGGTGTACCTGGGGTGTATCCGGGCATCCCAGCGGTGTCTGGGGGTATCTGGGTGTGTTTAGAGGCGTCCGGGTGTATCCGGGTGTTCCAGAGCTCCTGGGGGTACCCTGGTGTCCCGGGGGTGTCTGGGGGTCCTGGTGGTACCTGGGTTTCCTGGGGGTGTCTCGGTGTTCCGGGTGTACCTGGGGCTGTGCGGGTGTATCGGGG